CAGAGACATCGTTATTATTAAGCAACAAAAGCGGCAACAGCGAACGTCAGTGGTTTAGTGGGCGTGGAGGCAGCACAACTGTGGCAATGGCTGACGAGCTTCGCTTTCACGTTATACAGGTTGGTGAAACGGATTCATTATATGCTAAGAAGACAAGTAACCGTTGTTTACTGCTGCTTCCACGCCCACAGGTGTTATACGTCTTGTCGCGAGAGTGTACTAAAGCGCTTTGCTCGCTACTCTTGTGTTGCGGTGACGTTGAAGCAAACCCAGGGCCTCCAAAAAAGACCCCTGGGCCACTAGATGATGTCGAGAACAACACAGCTTCTTCTGATGCGCGCATAAAGAAGTTATGGCAATGCTTCCTAAGATAAGTGCCCGCTGTGATTCATCTGCCGTTGAGCAGTTCAATTTGGCAAAGGCGATCGACGAGGTGAAAGCCAACCAGCAACTTGTGGCGAGCAAATTATGCGAGATTTAAAGGTGGCTTTCGACGGTTGAACTGCGGACTAACTCTGTTGCGGACATTGAGAAGGAATTGCAGGTCACGAATGAAGCTATCGGCAGCATCACTCAAACAAATGACGCATTGGTGTCCCGTCTAAACGACCTCGAGGACAGAGCCCGAAGGTGCAACTTAGTGTTTTTCGGTATGCCCGATAAAAATGAGACCTGGCAAGCTACTGAAGAGGCACTTACCAATTTGCTCTTTAGTAGCCTAGGCGCCGAGTTCGACCCGAATGCAGTAGAAAAGGCCCATCGTTTAGGTGGTCCATATATACGCGAGAAAACTCGACCAGTGATAGTAAAATTTGCAAGCCTTAAAGCAAAAGAACTTGTGCTGGCACGTCGATCTAAGTTGAGAAGTCATAAAGTCTCTGTATCGGAGGTCTACTGTCAGGCTACAAGAACAGCGCGCCAGATGCTGCACAATTATGCAAAATCATTGCCTGGCCGACCCGCTTTTCAGCTTTGTTACGACAAGCTCGTTGTTAACCACAGAAACTATTGTTATGATGCTTCCGCGGGCATTGTTCGCGAGACTACTGCGCATTCTCGCAGTAATGGCAGTGAATCGCGCATCGAAAATAGGGCGCACTCAACTTCCGATCACAGTCATGACCTTCACGTACGTTTATTGCCTGATGCCGCACTTTTGTTACGTGCGCGGACATCTAATGCCTCCTCATAACAATCAGCAAGGGGAAGTGGCAGTATCGTATCACGTCCTGTTTCGGTGCTCTACACGAACATCCGTAGTATAATGGGAAAGCGGGACGCTTTTGACGCTTTTATTGATTCTTGTGAAGCCGACGTGATTGCCGTGACCGAGACTTGGTTGAATGCTCATGTTTGCGATAACGAAATTTTTACTACTTTCAAATCATTGAACATTTACCGCCGCGATAGAGATGGAAGACAAGGTGGTGGTACTTTGCTTGCCATTTCGAAGCGTTTCAAGTCCTTTCTTATAAACGTGACGTCTACATTGGAAGTGATATGGTGCGGGTTGGTTGTGAATAATAAAACGCTTGTTCTTTGCGTCTGTTACCGCCCTCCAGATACAGACATCAGCTTTGTTCAGGAGTTTCACGATAACATTAATGAAATTACAATGCGGTACCCATCTTCTTCGATAACTATTCTCGGTGACTTCAACTATCCTACCATAATGTGGGCGTCATCGTTACCAGACGTCGTACCATTTTCTTCAAATGGCCAATGTTTTCTCGATACTTGCAACCTGTTTAATTTTACGCAGATGGTGAATAACCCAACTCGCGTCACCAATTCTTCATCGCACATTCTTGACTTGATTCTTACAACAATGCCCGACAACATTCATGCACTAAACTCACTTCCTGGTCTCAGCGATCACTGTCTGCTACATTTTTACATACGCAACAGCATGCCAACTGCTACTAAGAAACGCAAGGTTATCTATAACTACAATGCTGCAAACTTTGAGGCAATCAACAACGAACTCTCTCTATTTTACGACACTTATTTACATGACTTTGATAATAGAACCGTGCAGGAAAACTGGGATCTGTTTGTTAACAAAATCTACGAACTTACTCGTACCTTTGTTCCCTTAAAGTCTATACCTGTGAGATCTTGCTCACCCTGGTACAATAAATACCTAAAGCGACTTTCTAACAAAAAGAAACGCTTGTTTCGTGCTGCGAAACTCCAGAGTACGGAGAAACGCTGGCGCTCCTACGAAAGTGCTGCGCGAGTTTACTCGTCAGCAGTTTCGGATGCTAAGGCTAACTTTCTATCTAACACTCTGCCATCAATGCTTGTAAGCAACCCTAGAAAGTTTTGGAAAACTATTACGAATACCAACGACAGTGAAATCGTACTTGTTGACTCGGACGGCCTTCCCGTATCTTCCGAGATGTGTGCAGCACGTCTGAACGAAAATTTTGTCCGGAACTTTTCAGGGTCGTCCACTTCTGCTACCGTCTCTTTACCAGCGCGCAACTATCCATCAATGGCTGTTATAGTCACTGAGGCCCATGGAATTGTAAAACTAATTGAATCACTAAGAATATCCTCTGCTTGTGGTGTTGACAACATAAACGCAAGAATCCTTAAAGAAACTAAGCATGCCTCATCTATATTCCTGTGTAAAATATTCCGACAGTCTTTGAATGAAAGTGTGGCGCCACGCGTTTGTGTTTGGAAAGAGGCAAAGGTGGTTCCGCTACACAAATCAGGAAACAAGCATTCTGTTACTAATTACCGACCTATTTCACTTACTTCTATACCATGCAAACTTTTAGAGCACATAATCTTCTCTTACTTGGTCAACTTTCTAGAATCAAAATCGTTCTTTAGCACGTCACAGCATGGATTTAGGAAGTCATTCTCATGGGAAACACAGTTGCTTTGTTTTACCCATTCGTTACATATCATTCTAGATCGGAGTTCACTGGTCGACTGCATTTTTTATACTTTTCGAAGGTTTTTGACAAGATTAATCATCACCTACTACTATATCAGCTTAGGACCCCTAATATTGATGGCGGCATTCTTGCTTGGATCGAGTTATTCTTAATTAATCGCTCACAATTCGTTGTTGCTAACAACTACAGCTCACCCTCTTCCCCGTTACTTCTGGTGTGCCCCAGGGTTCTGTGTTGGGCCCTTTACTATTCCTTATCTATATTAACGATTTACCCCATGTTGTAACTTCTTCGATTCACCTTTTCGCCGATGACTGCGTTGTTTACCGAGAAATTTCATCTAATTAACTCTGACGCTAGTTCTTTGCAAAGTGACATTAATAATATTGCCAGCTGGTGTAGAACTTGGCGCATGGACCTCAACACTAACAAATGTAAAGTTTTACGTATCTCACAAACTACCGGACCCCCTGTTAACTACATCTTAAATTACGTTGATCTAGAGTCTGTAACTTCGTATAAATACTTGGGGATTCATATAACATCTGACTCAACGGGAAACATCATATTACCTATGTTATTAACAATAGCAACCGTATGCTAGGGTACCTATGACGCAACTTTAGCCGTGCCCCTCAAGCCGTGAAACTAACCATGTATAAAACACTAGTTCGTCCAAAACTTGAATATGCATGCTCCATTTGGGATCCTTTTCAACTGAACTTGACTCACTCGCTTGAAATGGTACAGAATAACGCAGCACGCTTCATTCTAACTACCATCGCACTAGCAGTATTACGTCAATGAAACACAGCCTTTCACTACAGTCACTTGAATCACGTCGGAAAGCATCTCGTCTCATACTTTTTCACAAGATATTCAATCATCCACTTTTGAAAGCTGAGTTCATTACCACTCCTGCCTATTACTCAGCTCGTTCATATCATCAACATAAGGTACACGTCATTAGCTGCCGCACTAACACTTTTCATCATTCCTTCGTCCCACGCACATCCAACGACTGGAACCACCTTCCCTCGGACATGATTTCCATTTCAAGTCACGACTTGTTCTCATCTACAGTACAGAATTACTTACGTGATGACACGTGAAAGTGTATATTGTACATATATAATTTTGTACTCTGTTTGCCCCATTCTGATGATACTTACACGTACATTCATTGTACTGCCTAACATCGAATTTTCATGTTTTGTAATTTTTATTATTTTGATGTTACTATGTTTGCTCTTGGTTATAGTTTTTTTTTCTGTACCCCACTCCCCTCTGTGAAGCTATGTGCGATTGAGGGTAAAATAAATGAAATGAAGCGGAAGGGGTTGGCCTAGGTAAGGCCTAGGTACTCTGGACATTTTAGTAAGTTTTTATCTAGGGACCTTAGGCTTTACTTCCTCCATGCGCCGCCTGGTGGCCACAGGCTGAAGCGCACCTAGCATGGATTGCTCCCTGCGTTGTCTGCTATCCGCATAGGCTAGCACGTGCACGTACATCATGCTCGTGCTCAAAGGGTGGTTTGTCCCACTTTGTTAGCGCATTTGCTTGTACGTTTGCCTAGCACTGTCTACATAAACATTTGGCCTTACTCGCCTGTATATGTACCGTAATAAGATGAGGTCGAGCACTTGGCTGTATCGTCCTCGTAGCCCCTCTTCGCCAGAATCATGTCGGTGTAGGGGCCGCTTTTTAGCTGAAGTCCATCGTAAAGTGCACTTGCAGTCGTCCCAAAGACGAAGAATAATAAATCTTGTGTGAATGCAGCGTTTTAGCGACTCATGAATAAACGAAAGTTTTGCATTGTTGTTAGCTAGGTGTCTACTTCAAAACAAAAATTGTGACGTTCTTGCTTATCGGCTGTGTGACGAGCTTTAACTGTGCTTGAGAGTTGTTCTTGAGTCGAGAGTTGTTCAAGACCTGCAACTGTACACCGCTGTTTCGGAGGCTATGCAAAATGTTGCGTTGTTGCACCGTCCGCCACAGGTGACGCTAGCGACCAAGAACAATCTAAAATAAAAGAGGGGAAGGGTGTGGTAGCCGTTTCTCTTCTCATGCGGCAGGCATCTTCTAGAGGAGGCGTTGAGCATATAGGCGTGACTAGAGTGTACTAGAAGGGTTCTTGTTCACTGGGTGACTCTCTCTCCGGCTTGGAAGGCACGTGGGCAGCGCAGCGCGCACTGGATGACGATCCGAAACTAGTAATGGAACGGCGCTGAACACTTTGGGCCAGCGCTGTTCTGGTAGGTGTTCTGTGGTATTACCAGCGAGTAACAGCTCGCCGACAACGAAGCTAGTACAAGAGAACGCGCGCTGGATGTACTGACAACGGTGAGTGTTTTCACGTCATCAATAGACGCACTGTACAGACATCACGATCGGTCGTGCGCCTTCTTCTACGGTTGCATTCCGACACGAGGCCCACGCAGCGCCCAGCCACTGTGCCCGTGTTCCGCGTGAAACTCACCGGCGTCAGCATTGTGCGACCGTGGTGACTTAGAGCACGGTGCGAGTGACACTTGAATGCGGTTGCTCTAACGTTGAGATTACAATGCTCGGGGCGAGTGTAACAAGCGGTACAGAAAAAAAAAGTGTTTTATTACGCACATGCAAGTTGTTACTGTACACATACCGAGCACAAAACTACGTATGTGCACATGATCCTCATTGTGTCTTGCTGGGCACAACAGTTTCGTCCATTGCCACAAACAGGAGCACTGTCCAACCGTCGCTGACCTGCAAGGCGTTCGTCGTCGTTCGGCTTCGTCATGGTGCCCAACGAAATTTCGCTGAACACTTCAAATGCTTCATCCGCCGCACGACACAGATATGCGCTCGTTCTACGCACTGTTCAGGCCCCGTAGTGGACGAAACGTTTTGTAAACGTTGCTAAGAGTACAGTAACTGCCAGGAAAACACTGCGTAACCAATAACGCGGCGCAGAGCACGTATATTGTCCGCGACGGCTCAGCACGAGACCTGCGGAGACACACATATGCCGCCGCGGCCGCTCACTGCTAGACCAGCTTCACTGCGCAACATGTAACCATAGTAACGCCGCCATTGTGCCCGGTGAGTATGGCCGTCATGATATCATTTCCTCCACTCTTTTCACGTAGCTGCGCTGGCTGGGCATGCCCGCTCCTATCTTTCCTTCCTCTGTGATCTGACGTATTGTTACAGCGCAGTCTACTTAAACGGAATGCTCGTTGACGACTGTGTCGTACGCAGCCGCGACGTACCATCCCCTCCTAGCATGGCATAGAGTTTCATACAATAAAACAATGCTGTATGAAGCACTATGCCTATCTAGTATGTGTGCGTCAGTGTCCAATTGAATATTCCCGCCCATTAAAAAAAAAGATTTTCTGGCGTTGTGTTCGATATTTAGTAACCAAAATAAATTTGAAATGTTTAAAAAGCTTCTTTGCAAAATAATTTGGACTTCCATTTGCATTTTGCAATTCGTTTCTTGCTGAAACTTTTGGAATATTTGTAAAATTATTGTTTTTGACTGTGCCGCAAACGTAGGGGCATGACTGAATTTCCGGCTGCAGAAATGCGACGGAATCTGTGCTTTCGTGTAGTCACCACCTTGGTCACCACAGCACGTTAAATCAGACGATCAACATCCTCGGCACCGACGACTACATCGCATAAAACGAAACATGGCTGGCGTTGAGCCGTTGTAGTTGAGAGCAATTTTTCTTATTAGGAACTTTCGCACGTGCTGTTATGTCATGAAACCAGTAATAAGTTATTCTAGTAAAGAATAAGGTATTATAAATTGTAAAAATTATGTATACGTAAGTTAACAGACATCTCCCTATAAGGCCCTGGCGTTGAAACTACTCATTCAGTCTGAAATGGAACGCAAAGGTGTTTCGGGCACTCGTTCTTCAGAAAATGTCATTTTCATCAAATAGCATTAGTTTTCCCACTTGACGGCAAACAAATGACGTTACAAATGAATGACATTCGCTGTAAATGACATTATATTTGCCGTGTAACAGGGTTATCACTCATTAATGTGAAAAAAATCTTCTCGTCAGTGCCTCAATTAAAGGTCAGACCACTGGCCGGATTGTGCAATAAGGTACTAGAGGAAATGAAAAGACCATGAGTAATAGCGACAGATTTAAGCATTCATTTTTTTTTTCATTTGAATAGCGTTATATTTTCGAATTACGTTTCAGTGTCATAAAAAAAAGTCCGTCGCACAGCCCGTCAAGGAGCTTTGATGCTGCACCTTGGAGTCAATATGTTTAGCAAACGTAGTCTAATGACTTTTATGCATGCCATAATTAGTGCTCACGATTGGAGTATGTATGTTATTGTCCATTCTGAATCAATTCTGTTATGCTTACGCAGTAAAAGGAGTTTATGCTGAGGAGTGTCACGGCTTTCGCGACTTGTTGAACATGTCGAGCTGCTGCACATGCGTGTGGAATGGACACCACAGCACATAAATGCAAACCGCTGTCGTGTTGAGATGTCATTGTTTGCAGCATGTGTTGCATGCAAGGCTCTACGATTGCCTTGGATCTGAAAATTCTTATAATTGTTTCATGGCGTCTTGTTATCATTACGTAATTGTACAGAGCGAGGTGAATTGATGTATGGTAATTTGTTTTTTTTTCATTATGTACAGGTAGGGTTGCTATCTTTTCTCGAACAAAAAAAAAAAAAACAGCTCTTCGATAAGGGAGAAGGGGGTCGGGATGAGCTGTCAACAGAATAAATTAGCCTTGAACAATGCACGCAATGCAGGTCCGTGGCATGCAGTGCCATTTAATGTAACATTGCTTTTCTTGAGCCAAATAAACCTGGTGTAGCTAAAATGGCCCACTAAGCTAGCCTGATAGTCTAATTGCTGGCATAAAAATACCCATGATTAGAACGATTCTTTGTTTACTGCTCTGAAGAAAAAATTCCGCCATATCCACGAAGTGAATGATGATGAGTGGGCGAAGCTCCGGAGGTAAACCTGGTAAACCATGAATCCTCTGTACATTTTGCCCACTCGATTTTATTACATCGCTCCCCCTAGCGTACGTCGCCGCACTAAATCGAACGATTGCCTTCAACCAATGACACGCGCCATATGTGACATCATTCCTATTTTATAAGATCTTGCGTCTTTCATCAACTACAAGTACCGCTTTCTAGTTTATAACATCTTGCATCTTTTCATCATCAGCTACAAGTACCACCATCTAGTAAACACTACAAGAACTAAACGAGAGGTGGCTACATACAGGAGACGGTACCGCCATCTAGTGAACACTGCAAGAACTAAACTAGAGGTGGCTACATACAGGGGACCGTACCGCCATCTAGTGAACACTGCAAGACCTAAACTAGAGGTGGCTACATACAGGCTACAGGGGACGCACAGCCCACGCCCTAAGGAGCTTCGCCCCTAAAAAAAAAAGGCTGACAGTGGGTGTGGACCTGCAACTGGTCCGCTGTCTAAAAAATGGCCGAGCTGGTCTCAAAGGGGACAGGTGGCAACCCTATGTACAACTTATTTAATCCAAGGAGAGTTCAGGGGCATTATTTGTAGTGTTTTGATGTAATGCAGTAATTATGAAATGTTTGTATACAAGTAAAAGTGGACTAAAAGACAATGTGCCGCTGCTAGGGCCCGAACGTACAACTTTCAGATAATGCATTCGATGCCTTACCGGCTCACCTACAGCGTCGTTTATCGTACTGTCCACTACTACAACCTTTGGGTGACTGGATATGTTGTCCAAAGGATATTGGTTCAGATACTGTGAGTTGCAATTTTCACAGTGAAAGCTTTTTTGTGGCTAGAAGAAACGAAAAACTGTCCAGTAGCGGTGTCATGAGCAGTGTCCATTGGCTGTGTTATCAGTTACGTCATACACAACACTGTATCCAAGCACGTGCATTATTGGCTGCGTTGCTAGCAAGCTTGCAATGTCAAACGCTTAAAACAACGCAGCAATAAGGTGTATGGTTAATGTTATGGTTGCGGGAGCGAGTTTTCTGGGGTGGAGGCCCGCTTTCGGCAGTAGTTTAGCTTCGGCTGCAGCGTCTGTGACCACCTGTCGTTTGAGAATGATTACTGTAACTAACGCGTTGCAAAATCAAATCCGCTCATTACACGCTTCTGTGACCATGATCATGCTAGGCACACTGTGCGGCATGTGAAATGAACACTGAGGTAAACCCAAGCCAAACGTGTGTCTAACCTCGTTTAGAAGCAGGAACTTGTAACCAATAATTGCGAAAGGCTTCAGTGCAGCAATGGGTCGAATGCACCACTAAACACCGGGGCCGCTCGTTCCAGCTTTCGCTGGTTAGCCATTTGTACCGATCGCTTGGGAGGTGATTGTTTTTATTTTCTTATTTAATTTGTTTACACCTATATCATAATTACTGTTACATTTAAGGACTAGAAATAATGCTCCTGTACCTCTCTTGGCTTCATTTTTTGTTTCTTTCATGAGCTTGCACACTCTATGATCAGGCACTTAGACTGGTAAGCTTTTCGTTGCGCTGAGGAAAACAAGTACCATGAAAATTGGTTATCGTGCTTTCTTCTAAAAAGTTCACTGCGATGTTTTACTTACCAGAGTCTAACCCATGTGTGGGTGCTGCTTTTTTTTTTTTTGTGGGGCGACTTTCCAGAAAGAACTGCCTTTGGCCCGCAAAACGTCCTTCCTACTGTCTGAGGCGGTGGCTACATGGAAACGCCCCATCTGCCCTCACCTGATGGTGTGTATAAGCCTTACCTGGATTTCATTGCTCTTAGGGGTGGGCAGATGCTTTGAAATCATGTTGCGATACAATACAAGATACTCGGGCGAGTAGTAGCCTGCCTCGGTGGAACAGTGCATAGGGTGCTCGGCTGCTGACCCGAAGGGTGCAGGTTCGATCCTGGCCATGGCGGTCGCATCTTGAAGGAAGCGACATGATAGAGGCCGTGTACTGTGTGAGGTCAGTGCACGTTTAAGAACACGACGAGGTCGAAATTTCCGGAGCCCTCCTCTATGGGGTGTCTCAGGAATCATATCACGGTTTTGAGGCATAATACCCCAGATATTATTATAATTGGGCTCGAGGTATTCGAGAAAACAGATAGAAGATGCTATTGTAGTAATTGTATCTGATAGGATACTTTTAAATTCTATCTTCTCCTCTAAGGCACATTGCCTGATAGGATACTTTTAAATTCTATCTTCACCTCTAAGGCACATTGCTGGGTAAGTTGGTCGGGATTCATAATTGATACGACGTAGTGTGTCACAACAGGGACAGAGGAAAAGGACACACGGTGCTAAATTGTGACTAGTGGTTTTATTTGCGATCACGCATGCAATTTATACAATAAAAGCAGAGGTCGATAAAGGCCCAGGCAACAGCATATAAAGATACAGCACAGAGCATGTATTCTTCATCAATAATTGCACCACAGTCTGCACCAACCTAAGTCGAGGAGATGGCTCTAGCTACTACTTCTTTTCGCTAGCCGTAGTAAAAGTTAAAGAAGGCACGGCACGCTCTCACATTTTTCTTTCATCTTGTCTATTTCGTAGGCTTGAATTATAAATCATTTCGCTCCTGTTGACCAACATAGTCACGGCATTTTGTACCAATGTGACCAATGACTACATAACATGTAATCAACAAGAATCGGTCCTACCTTATCTCACTGGCGATTATATTTGTCACAGTATTTTTTCTTGGCGCTAGATGGCAAGACCTATCCATGTTGTGCAACCTGTGTGTCTACTTTCATTTTGTAGTTGTATTTCATTGTATTTCTATGTGGTGTAGCCATGCTGCAGTTATTGCAATTACCTTTTTTTCATGCAATTAAGGAAATAAAGGAACTCCATTAGTTAAAAAAGATGGTAACATCTTATTCAGAAAAAAAAAGAGCGAGAAGATCTTTTGATGAATTTTGTACAATAAAATTTTTCTTATCATAGTGAGAACGTTAGCATACTTAGATATGCTCGCGAGTTGGTTATCATCAATCTATAACAGGTGTCTCAAACTCTCCTCGCCGAGCGGGCTGCACCACTAAATGTAGTGCCGCGAGGGCCGGTGCAGTGGAAAATGTGGAAGGGCGAGGAGGATCTTTAACTAAATACCGGCAAACATTGCCAGTAGGTCATTATTGTTGGGTATATTTAGAGTCGGGATTCGAGTGCTATCGATATATCCACACAATAACTGAAGTATCGACTCGTATTCTGAAATAGAGCTTTTGTTCCACTGTTATGTTTCAACAAGTTGACGATGTGGATTGCCTCAGAAAAAAATGATTGAAACCAGTCATGTCTATACATGACTACTTTTTCATGGACATACTTATTAAAGAAAGAAAGTGGGGCAAAAACACTCATGTGAGAGTCGGGCCACTAAGGATAGGTTTGTGGGTAGTTTATTTAGAACCTGTGATCTATATAGTGCAGCCAAAAATGCCCATGCGCCAAATTGTGTGATTCAGTATTTAAATGCGATCAACATTGTTTTATCCAAATGAAATGCTAGTTATTATTTGAGAAGTATTGTTTTTCGTGCTCAAGGTACGTTAGTGTCATTCCGAAATCACTTATTGTGGTGGCTTTGATTCATTACTCATATGAGCTCTTGTCTCTGGAGTGTTCTGGCAGAAAGATAAAGGGAATGTCGCTTCAGTCAGTTCCATTGAGGCGGCTTAGTGTGAGGCAGTATGAGCTTGAGAAAAAGTCACTCAAAAAAAAAAAAAGATGAAAAGCGCATCTGTTTGTCCCACAACAATAATCAGCATCTATCTCGGCTTCCTTTTCTTGCAGTATCGTTGTGCAATCAGCACATTTAGGTCATGAACAATATACACATTATCAGTGTGACATAGCTTTTCTAATAGTAAAGTCGCCAGTGCAGAGTTTTCAAGAAAAAAAAGCGCGAGCAAGCCGGGTGATGATTATTGTTGTGGCACAAAAAGGCTCCCTTCCTACTTGATCATTTTTTAGAGGGGTGTTTAACCAACATTTATTGTTCCGTTGTGGGATGCTGTGGCAGCAACTCGTATAATCAAATGCATGATCTATGTTTAGTATACCGGAAGTACAAATACCCATATTGGAGCAGTATCGCAATACAAATACAATATACTCGTATAGCATCTTAAAATACATGTACAGAAGACTCTCGATAATTCAAGCTGTGATAACTCAAACTTTCGGTTAATTAAAACAAAATTCAGTTTTTGGTTAACCCTCTATTCTTTCAGTGTATTTAAAAGCCTCTTAATTCAAACTCCATATTTCGGTTAATTCATACTTTTACAGTTTCATACCAGAAAATATCTGCTGCTTTCCCACCTCTTAAATGTCTAAAAATGAAAAAATAAGCACCTCAGGCCTTCAAAGAAAAAGCTTCGCTATCAAAGAAGCGTTTGAAACAAAGAAAATGCATGGTAAACCGTGATGCTTCTCAACTAATATAGAGAGCTTTGTGCCGAAGGCACATATAGCAAAGAACTAGTTGCTAATTCATTAAGAGGACTGATCAGCAGTAAATTGCCAATAAAGCTGGTGACTTTACTCCCCTGCTTTCTGTTCATTGCGTGTAGTTAGAGCTTAGAAACAAACATTTTTAAATGTGATAAAATCAATGCCTACTCATAATGTGTGGTGTCACCTCAACCAGATTATACTATCTGAGAACTTTTGATAATTCAAACTTCTTGATAATTCAAACAAAGTTCAGAGGTCCCTTCGAGTTTGAATTAACGAGAGTCAACTGTATCTGTGATCGGGTTCTGCTCTGGTTGTTCTAAGTGAGGCTAAAGCACTCAGCAGCTGCTTTCTTTTTTTTTCTTTTTCATGTTTCAGACTGTAATGTAATAGGAGAAGCAGAGCCTACAGTCGGTCTGTTCGTACACCAGGATGCTGATGAGTTGTGCAAGAGTGGTGCGCCTCTTGTGCAGCACACTGAAGAAAGAGATGAAAACTTGGACTTGGGGCTTTCAGAACGGCACTGCGACGAGGTAGGCAATGTCATCAATTTGATGAGTGGTTTGTGGCATTTCACGTCCCTCGGGAACTCATAACAGAGAGAGACTGCAGCAGAGGGCTGGGGATATTTTTTGCAGCTTTGTGTTCTATATGTGCACCGAGATCTTTCAGTACGTGGCCCCATAGCATTCTGTTTCTATCGGAAATGCAATTGCCACGACTGGGATCGAACTTGCGTCTTTCGGATCGACCGCCGAGCACCTGAACCACTGAGTCACTGCGGCGATGGTAATTAATTTTGTGCCACCCTCTGTGGTAACCTTGTGGCTAAAGTATTGAGCTGTTGATAATTAGGGTGGGGTTAGATGCCAGGGCAAGGTGGCACTCTTTTTATGTGGGCAAAATGCAAAAGCACATCCGCTTGCAATAAGGATCGCCTGGGGATAAAAATGAGTTTGGAATCTTTTTTGGCTTTTTCTTTTCGGAAGGCAAAGCAAAAATAAGTGGCCATAAAATTCTTGCAAAATTGAAGAATAACAGGAAAAATATTGAAGAGTGATAAGTCAGAATATAATAAGAAAATGTCATGCATCGTAGTCGTGTCAGGCATCGGTAATTTAACCAGAAAACGAAAAAATATTTTTCATTGCGACAGCAACTATATGGGCGCACTCTGCTGGATCTTGCCACGTGCATCGCCGGCGCTCATCGTATATGTATATATGTAAGGGCGGCGCTACCTGTATTTCTAGTTTTATTATTATACAATGCCCATGATATATGACGATTTTGCATGGTCCCCTCAAAATCATAAGCGCTATTTCTCTGCATGCACCTCTCTCATGTTTTCCAAAATGCACTCTATTACCCACGTTCTAATACACTCCAAGAATTCACTCTATCACAGAATATTCGTGTTGGTGTGCCCACTCTTTCTCACTTTTGGCATTCTCGTCAGTGTTTCCTTGATTGTAACGAGCGATTTTGATGATACTATCAGCTGTCTGCACAGGTGATCTGTATACTTCGTCGTTGCTCAGCACATAGTCTCCGTTCGTCATCGTTCGTCGTCACATTGCTGCTTTCTCTTGCAATAGAAGGCATAATACTATTTGAAATGCCAACTCTTGCAGTTGTTTTTCTGGAAAGGAATTATGGTCACTTACAGCCCAAAATAAATACATGCTTCGCCCCTAGATTGCGGTGCGCCTGTCGTTTCTCTGTGTGGCGTAGCAAAGATTTTCGAGCTCTGTTCGTAAGCACTATTTTGCTGAAAATGCAAATACTACGCATATTATGAATTAAGTGTTGGTCATTTCTTGTTAGAATGTTGCGGTTGGCTGAGCTTTGAAGTCGCAGATTTTTACGAAATTAGCGCAAAAAGCAAAACTTTTCCACTGAAAACTTACCTAAATGAACAGGTGCCTGATTGGCCAACTCATATGCCTGAAATACGTGAATGGTCTTTACGTTACAAAATAAATGATTGAAGGTTGTGGGACACTTATGCAAATTCTTCGTGGGTCGGACGGTGACCGATGTGGCCGGAACTTGCATGTATTCTGGTGATGTAACCGACTATATAAACTTTAGCTCTTTTTCATTATTTCCATTTTTCGTTCTTTTTTTTTATTGAGATAGAGAATAAATGAAAGTGTTTTTGTCACCTTTACTTGGTGACGGCTACCCCTTTCTACTTGATTGTTACAAATAAAGAATAGGAAAAAAACGGAAGTAGCATATATACATATATACAGTTCTTGTTTTGTTTTGGCATCGTCCCATTTTGCATGTCAGGAAACTGGTCAAGCCATTGAATGTTCCTCCTTCTGAAATAAAGAACTGAGACAGTCAGAACTGTTATCCAAGACCAGGTAGGAGCGTAGGACTAGCCAGCGAAATCAGCGACAAGGTCCAAGCCGAGCGTCTTGTGCTTAGCACTGACAATGTGTTTGCCGAGCTTCGCTGACCCACTACATTCATCATTACATATCTCCCCCTCGCTGAAGATGGTGTCAAGTAAGTGTTCTGAGGTGTCTTGAGGACAAGTGGTTCGTGATACGGTTTGAGGCGATCCACATGTGTGATTTCGCGGCCTAGGCGACGCAGGTCCACAGTGTCCCTGAGGGGTTCGATGAGGTAGTTAACAACGGAAGTTTGTTCTACGACACGATAAGGTCCATGGTACCTGCTGACAAACTTTGTAGAGGTACCAGGAGTAGCACTAGGGGGCACCCACAGCCAAACAAGAGAGTTGGGCGAAAACTGGTAGTTAAACCGCCCATCGTCGTGACGAAATTTCTGTAGCCCTCGTTCTTGTGCTGTAAGGGTGCGAGCTAATTGCCGACATTCTTCCGCATACCGAGCGGCTTCAGAAACTGGTGTGCCTTCGGATGAGTCTGGTCGGTAGGGGAGAATGGTGTCAATTGGAGATGATGGTTCTCGACCATAAAATAAAAAGAAGGGAGAAAAGCTTGATGTCGCTTGAGGTGCCGTGTTGTAAGCGTACATTATGTAGGGAAGGATAAGATCCAGTTGGGTTGGTCGGAGGCGACATACATAGAAAGCATGTCGCCAAGAGTACGGTTGAAATGCTCGGTCAAGCCATTTGTTTGTGGGCGATATGTGGTAGTACAGCGGTGAATCACATGGCATTCAGCAAGAAGTTCTTGAATAACATCCGTGAAAAAGGCGCGGCCTCGGTCGCTCAAAAGTTCACAGGGAGCGCCGTGACTGCTGAACAAAATGTTGCAGCAGGAAAGACGCGTCACGTGCCGTCGCGACTGGTAGAGCGCCTGTTTCTGCATATCTCGTGAGATGGTCGATCGCTACAATAATCCAGCGATTCCCAGCTGATGTATATAGTAGGGGACCATAAAGGCCATAAAGGCCGGTAACGGCTGCATTGGTGCAGTAGGACGGCTAGGATCGTGCTTGCGGCGTCGGCACTCTGTGCAAGATCAAATGTACTTTTGAACGAATGTGTTCATGCCGCGCCAATAAAACCGAAAAAGTAGCCTGGAGTAGGTTTTAAACAAACCTGCGTGTGGACATTGCGGATCGGCATGGAAAGCAGCACATATGCTGGCACGGAGATTCCTGGGTATGACGAGTAAGCCATTTGCAACCGTCAAAAGTACATTTGATAAAGTATTCCATCACGGATGGCGAAGTGAGAGACTTGTCGGTGTAGCACTCGAGATGGCGGGTGGGCGAGTGTTTCAGATAGGTAATCCATCAGAGACGCAATCCACGAATCTTTGCGTTCCTCCGCAGCCATGTCGATGAGTCCTGATAGTGGAAGGAAGTTGTCTTGGATGGAGGCACTCACAATATCAGTAGAAACAGGCGAACGCGAAAGGGCATCGGCATCGGCGTGCTTCTGGCCTGAGCGATAAATGACACGGATGTCGTACTCTTGGAGCCGTAAAGCCCATCGTGCCAAGCGTTCGGAGGGTTCCTTGAGGGAAGATAACCAGCAGAGTGCATGGTGGTCGGTAACAACATCGAAAGGGTGGCCGTACAGATAAGGCTGAAATTTCATAATGGCCCAGATAATTGCTAGGCATTCTTTCTCAGTTACCGAATAATTTGCTTCTGTTCTTGTAAGAAGAATATGTTGTTGCTTCTGTTCTTGTACGCAACAACATATTCTTTGTAACGAGGCTTTTGTTGGGCGAGTGCAGTGCCAAGACCGACACCGCTAGCATTCGTGTGGATTTCTGTGGGAGCGCTTGAATCGAAATGACGCAGTATGACTGGTGTTATAAGCAGTTCACGGAGCTTCGCAAAGGCACTGTCGCAGGCTTGAGACCACGCAGATAGATTGTGGTCTCCCTGAAGTAGGTCTGTCAGAGGTGCCATGATCGAGGCGAAACCCCGGATGAAGCGGCGGAAGTATGAGCAAAGCCCAATGAAACTACGCAGCTCCTTGAGAGATGGGGGCCTCGGGAACTCGCCAACAGCACTTAGCTTAACGGGGTCAGGAAGAACGCCATCCTTCGACACGACGTGTCCGAGAATGGTCAGCTTGCATGCTCCAAAGTCCCACTTCTCCAAGTTTAGTTGGAGGCCTGCTGCAGAGAGGCAGCGTAGAACCTGTTCCAAGCGATGAAGGTGCGCGGGAAAATCGGGCGAGAATACCACTACATCGTCAAGTAGCACAAGCACGTGTTCCATTTGAGGCCTCGTAGGATAGTGTCCATCATGCGCTCAAATGTTGCCGGCCCATTGCATAGGCCGAATGGCATTACGTTAAATTCATATAAGTCGTCTGGTGTAACAAAGGCAGTTTTTGGCCTATCATCCGGATTCGTGGGCACTTGCCAGTACCCAGAGCGTAGATCAAGGGAGGAAAAGAACTCTGCGCCTTGTAAAGAGTCGAGGGTGTCATCAATTCGAGGCAAAGGATAAACATCCTTTCGTGTTATTTTGTTTAGATGACGATAATCTATGCAAAATCGTATCTTGCCATTCTTCTTTTTAACTAAAACAACCGGCTACGCCCAAGGACTGTTTGATAGTTGAACGACCCCTCGCTTTAGCATGTCACCTACTTGTTCATCGATGACACGGCGTTCAGTTGGCGAAACACGGTATAGTCCCTGCCGTAGTGGTGGGTGATTACCTGTGTTGATCTGGTGGCATACGGTAGATGTTCGACCTAAAGTAGCGCTGTGACTCTCAAAAGATGGCCGAAACTTGTGAAGGAGGCTCAAAAGCTCACACCTCTGTTGTGGGTTTAGGCCTTCGTCGACGACACGGTTGAAAATGTCGATAGTGGAAGGGTCATTCACGGAACTACAGGAAAAGGTGCTGACTTCGATGATCCATTGGGAACGTCAAGTGTAGGGATGGTTTCGAATGATTCTATCGAACCGATAAATTCGCCTCAAAGCAGCTTAATCGTGAATGGGAACGGATTCTCCACAGGCACGTCGGTCGCACCACCTTGAAGAGTAAGGAGAGCGGTTGGGAGCGGTGATAAGTGGCGATGAATGAAAGCAGCAGAAGGCGTGAAGAATGCGGTTGCGTCGTCGACGGCGGAACACGACACAGGTGCGAAGACAGTAGCGCGTGGAGGGATGTGGGTGTTGTCACTAATGACTAACTTCGCGTAGGAAGAGCGATCGTGCTCTGGTAGCGCATCACCAAGGGGACAAAAGACGACTTCGGCACGGGTGCAATCAATGACGGCTTAGTGGTGGGAGAGAAAATCCCAATCTAAAATAATTTCATGAGAACAGTGCGGGAGTGCTACGAACTGCACTGTGTAGGGCACTCGATGAATTACGAGTCTGGCAGTACATGCGGCCACAGGCTGCTCAGGCTGTGAAGTGGCTGTATGAAGACATGAACCCAAGTAAGGCGTTGTCACTTTTCGAATTGAGCGACAAACTTTTTCGGCGTTGACAAAATTGCGGCACCAGTATCAATTAGGGCAAGTATGGGTACACCTTCAAGAACGGCATTAATTACATTCGACGGCGAACGAAGAGGGCTTGTGCTTTGCGATGAGAACGCAGTTCTTGCCTCGAGAACTGCGTCATTTAGTTTTCTGTGTCGATTGTAGGGGACGTCGGTGCATTGGGGAGGGCGAGCGTCGACGTGGAGAAGGAGATCGGCGATCAGGAGTTGGTCAATGGCTTGGTCGAGGAGCGTACAGTTTGGGGTCTGGAGTGTAGCGAGTGTATGTGTAATCGTTCTCATATGGATGTGGGTTTTCCTGTGAGTGGAGTGGGCGGCGGCGGCACAGGCGGGTGACATGTCCAGGTAGACCACACGGAAAGCTGATCGGTCGGTTGTCGGCAGTGTGCCATGGATTAGGGACTCGGCAAACTGGAGGTCGTTGCGGCTGGGCGGCATAAACAGGAGCAGAGCAGTGGAGGCGGCGCTTAGAACGTCTGTGGTCGTGCTGCTGCTTCGGCATACATCAATGGTGCATTGACTGGTAGCACCAGCTGCAGAGGAAGGACCTCAGATACTTGACCTTGTATAATAGTCCGTAGTGTAGGGCTAAGCGGCTCACTGCGCTCCGGTAGGCCGGAGACGAGTGAGTTGGCGGGCAACTTCTTCGCGCATGAAATCTTTGATCTGTGAGAGGAGGACGGGGTCTTGTGAGGGAGTTAAGCCGGACATCGATTCCTGATGTGGGACAGCAAGGCAGGTGACGAGACAATGCCGGCGGAGCTCATCATAGCTTTGGCAGAGCTCGGTAACTTGGGCGACAGTAGCAGGGCTTTTTGAAATGAGCATCTGAAAGCGTCCTCGTCGATACCCTTAAAAATATGTTTGATGCGGTCCACCTCTGTTATGTTTGCATTGACGCGTTTGCACAAGTCGATGACGTCTTGTATGTAACTTGTGAAATTATCACCAGGCGAAGGCGCTGCTCCGCATGAAGTTTGCGGACAGCAGGACGACCGAAGACTTCGCTGAACTTTGCCTTGAATGCTGTCCAGGTTCGAACGCCGGTCTCATGGTTCCGAAGCCACAAGTGGGCAATGCCACTGAGGTAAATGCCGACAGTGGCCAGTCTCGTGACTTCGTCCCATTTGTTCAAGACACTCACGAGTTCGTAAGCAGCCAGGCAGTCGTCGACGTCGTGATCGTCAGCGCCGCTGAATATGGGAGGATCCCGCTGGCGGACCGCGCCAGAGCACATGATGGCCTGGGGAGCCTTAGGTGGAGGGCTTGTGGCAGATGCAGTGGTCATGACGGCAGGTCGAGTCCGGCTTCGCAACTCCAGGATTGCAAGGAGACCCAGCAAACTCCACCAATAATAATAAAGAACTGAGACAGTCAGAACTGTTATTCGAGAACAGGTAGGAGCGTAGGACTAGCCAGCGCAATCAGCGACAACGTCCGGGCCGAGCGCCTCGTGCTTAGCACTGACAATGTGTTTGCCGAGCTTTGCATGACTCACTACATTCATCATTACACTTCCAAAGTGTTTTGCCACAAACGTTAATTAAAATTGTATACTTTGTATGAAGTCTGCTGCCCACTTCTCAAACATTCCCCCTGTAGTAGTACTATTCATAGGAAGAGGTAGCATTGCATTGTCGCTTGTAATGCTTGCTCTTGCAGGAGGCTCCCTCTCTGGACTCTTCCTCTTTGGGAAATGCTGGACGCGTGCTTGAAAATGTTAACAACCCTATGAACGGAGTCGAGGAGTTTGCAGTGTGTCAGGACAAGCACGAAACAGTTTCCAGTGAGTGTTTTGCTGCTGGTCAGCTCTTAACCTGGAAGTGTAGTAGTACATGGGGTTTGGCTGGGGTGAATATTAAGAGACTTTGTGCTGTAGTTGGACTGCTTTGTTTTGAAGTTTGCGTTTCATCATTGCTTTCAGCTCACATGCATTTGTGCCAACATCCTCCAGTGCCCAACAGTACTGCGTCACCCTCGGTGTGGTGGCGCATTGTCAACTTCAGTTATGCGCGAGTTTCAGAAAGTCACAATAAATTAGAGCAAGTGTAGAGCCCTTATAATTGACCTAAGGCCCCTACACTACCCCCTCGAGTGCATTTGTCAATCATCTAAACTATTTAAAGGTGCCTCTATGATGGGATTGGCTGCTGACCCAAGGACTGCGGGTTAGCTCCTGGCCGCAGTGGTCTCATTTAGATGGGGAGCGAAATGGTAGAGGCCCCCTGTACGGTGCGATGTCAGCGCACTATAAAGAACCCCAGGTGGTCAAAATTTCTGGTGCCCTTCCACTACTGCATGTCTCATAATGGTGTCATGGTTTTGGCAGGTTAAATGCCAAATATTATCTATAACAACAGATGCTCTCAAAAGGTGTTTAGAGGATTTTGGAGAGCCTCTGCAAAATTGATCACTTTCTGTTACTGATCCATTCTGAAAAATAGCTTCACCATGTGCCATGTGAGTTACAAGTCACCACATGTAACGAAGCAACTTCAAGCAACTGCACTACTTTGAAGATGCGGCATTTCGTGCCAATTATTCTTGTTCAGTTGGTATTAGGGGTCAAATTTTGGTTTGAGAGACAACTTGGATGTGTTATTTGAATATTAGTTTCATTGAGTAGCTGTTGTAGGTTCACTGATCAGAATTTATGACTGTGGTGTAACTGCAGAAGTAATGTTCGTTATTTTTTTCTGGTAACAACTCGATCAGTGAACCACAAATATTGTATCGACATCTATGGTATGTTTCTCATGGACATTGTAAACGTCTTTTAGATATTCATAGAAATCCCAATTACGAAGATTAGATGTACGCTCAACTATAAAATGCTCGTCCGAGTAAGGTTGTAGGTACGTTGCACATGGACACTCAGTGGACATTCAATAGATATACACAGACATTGCCATTTATTAAATAAAAGCTTTTTCATGCACTGTTCGCACTTACCGCATGTAGTAGATGTGTTAGACCTGCAGTCCCACGGCATTCTTGCTCATAGGTGCTCGGCTTTACATTATAGTGGGTACCGAACTCTATAAAGTACAACCGAGCAGCGAATGAGCAAGACTGCCATGGGACTGCAGCTCTAACACACCAACTACATGCGGTAAAGCATCAAAGACGTGAAGCTGGCCGGATTGCTGTCAGTCATCAAACTTAATAAGGCCAGTTTCACGCCGTTGATGCTTTCTGTAAGTATACCACACCAGCTAAGAGCCAGACTGCAGTGAGAGAGCAGGCGTCTGGCACGCAGCACTATACACGCAGGAAGCCTGAGGATGTGCATAGAAAAAAAGTTCTCATTCACAAAGTTTTAGCAATATTTGGTAAAGAAAGCCCAAACAGCCTGACATTATCATCAAGCACAAGCTGCCGTCTAACCTGCATGTTTATGCTCGGTCCTTAAAACCTTAGAGATTTATTGCGGCAGACAGCACATTATTTTCAAACACATTTATTGAACATAAAATCAAATCGATCATTGAATGTAAGTCAAGGTATGTGAATGAAAAATTATAGTACAAAATTATTCAATGAAGTTCGCCTTGAACGCATCGAAGTGATGTGAATGAAAAATTGCCGACCTAAAATCTTTGACGAAATTCCCCTTGAAAGTTTCAAAATTATGAGAATGTACAAAAATTCAATGAAATTGACTTTGAATGCTTTGAAGTGATGTGAATGAAAAATTGCTTAATGAAGTTCCCCTTGAAAGCTTAAAGTTATGTGAATGAAAAATTACTATACAAAAGTCTTCAATAAAGTTCAGCCTTGAACGCTTCGAAGTGATGTGAAAAAAAAATTGCTGACCAAAAATCTTCAACAAAGTTCCCCTTGAAAGTTTCAAAGTTATGAGAATGTACAGAAGTTCAGTGAAGTTCGCTTTGAAGTGATGTGAATGAAAAGTTGGTCAACGAAGTTCCCCTTAAAAGCCTAAGTTATGTGAATGAAAAATTACTGTACAAAAATGTCTACAATAAAGTTCACCTTGAATGCTTCAAAGTGATGTGAATAAAAAATAGCTGACCAAAAATCTTCCACGAAGTCCCCCTTGAAAGTTTCAAAGTTATGAGAATGTACAAAATTTCAATGAAGTTCACTTTGAACGCTTTGAAGTGATGTGAACGAAAAATTGCTCAACGAAGCTCCCCTTAAAAGCCTAAAGTTATGTGAATAAAAAATTACTGTACAACAGTCTACAATGAAGTTCGCCTTGAAAGCTTCGAAGTGATGTGAATAAAAAATTGCTGACGAAAAATCCTCGACGAAGTTTCCCTTGAAAGTTCAAAGTTATGAGAATGTACAAAAGTTCAATGAAAGTCTCATTTGAATGCTTCAAGTGATGTGAATGAAAAATTGCTGCACGAAAATATTCAACGAAGTTCCTCTTGAAAAGAAGTTCCTCTTGGAAGCTTCATAATGCACCATGGCTACTCATCACAAGCAGTTGATCCTAAGAATACAAGAAAAAAGAGAATCAGTACAAGCTATCCAGAAACAGTGAAAAGAAATACTATAAGACATTCAAGCAAAAGCACACCAACAGTACTGATACTCTATATTATCATGAGAAAAAATGCTTGGCCTAAATTGTGATGCTGCACTCCTGAACTTACAGAAGAATTGAAAAAGATGATGCCTACTTCAGAAACACAGCAAATGCAGATGACTAATGTATACATTAGCAATAACGATGTTACTCATTTCAGCATATGTAAGTATAGCTAGTTCTAGAACCTAAAAAAGCAATTTGGAATGCCCTCGGGTCTTACGAGTATCAATACATACAAAGACATTTCACTAATTTGTGCTTCATTGTAAGTGTCAGTTTCGAAACATCCTACTACAAAAGAAAGTGATGTTCTCGTACAACAGTGCAGCAGATAAAAGCTATACTGGACACAAACTTGAGTATTCAGTCTATGCGTAATTGTCTGCCACATTGTGTTATAAAGCTATCCCGATAACATTCATCTTGCTCGGAATTTCTCAGAGGCGACTTAACGTCCAAGTATGATGAGAAACATAACCAATAAAGGGATCAACAATACATCAGAACATGTCACAAGATTCTAGTGCAAATGAAAACTAACTTTCGTAACTGTTTCGATCATGCCCCTTGTGATTTAAGTAGGAAGCATAAAGTGCAACATAAAATTAAAAAAAATGCATGTACCGCCTATGCGGGGATGGCTTGGTACTATGTGACACAAAATTGATATATATATGCATTTTCTTGTCATTTAATGCATTATACTTGTTCTTTAAAACTGTGGTCTTTATGCCACACAGCCATGTACAGTTTATTTATTCCATAGCATAATGAGATAAAATAATCTAGGAAGAAAAGCTGCCCTCATGGCAACAGTAAAGCAGCACACTTGTTGTGAACTGTGGTGTCCGAGATTGCATGGAGATGCACTCGAGTGCTTTTGTAGGCAACCTTAAGAGGGATTACATATACTGTAGTCTTTATATGAGATTCGAAAAGCTGTATACTAGTTTTACCATAAATAGGTGCCTCCACTGGATGAGCAGAACTACTGATATAGCCTATTAACTTACACAAATGCTGGCATATGACCGTTATCATGCTCGCACATCACTTTTGTAGCTCGTTTTCCAAGCACGAACTAATCCACACAGCAGACACAAAATTTTTTACAGTGTTTTTCAATTACATCACACTGACAGGATACTGAAACCAATGAGCTTTGATTGCAACAGAAAAAAACTGCGCACTGTAGAAATTAGCTGTCAGTTCCATGGAAGGGCCACTCACCAGGTTTGACAATTTTGAGCTGACAAGAGCAATGTGTAGACGAGGCGTTCATGATCACGTCTGCCAAAACTTGCAACGCTACGCGCCGCGGAAATAGGGCAACTTTCAATATGAACGCTGCTCCCCCTCCCCTCTGCCGGTGCACGCGTAGAGAGTGAGGGCATGACGCGGGCATAGGAATGGCCCTACGTAGACAGCAAAGCAATGACTTTAGTCCTCTACGTCACGACATTGCTCTGACGCTGTCAACAGTATACCACGTGACATGGCAAAAATTATTTCACACAACATGTGTAGTTTATGTAATTGTTGCTTTAACGGACTAATAATACTTGAAATAAATAATGAGACGCAATGAAAATTGTGTGCGATATTCTTTCATTTTTTCCCCGTGAAATGCTACGATATGCGGGGCTAATGTGTCAGCGTTTCGCATGCGTTCGTGTCCCCGCTGGTCAGCACATTGAGCAGCCGACCGCCGTGGAATGCTCCTATGCGTTCGCGCACTCAATGTGCTCATCTACTCTACCGCTTCTAAGCCAGCGTTTCCAAACCATCCCGCAGAAACAGGCAAAAGACCACAAAATAACGCTGGTCAACAAAGCAACGCTGCTCGCGTGCTCGGGGGTTGGACTTGTTTGGGCACGTCATGCGCACGTCACCTCTTGGTCAGATGCTGGAGAGCGTGGGAAAGAGATTTGGCTTACAAAGGCTACGCCGAGGAGCGGCAAGGGTTTCGAGCTCGCCTCCTCTCATCCTCGTTCCCCGCCGCTTCAAAAAACCTGTTTTCTCCGTTCGTGATGAACCGATTTGAAAAACTTTTTTGGCAAAATGTTCCTCATCGGACACCCAACAACTTCCACTGTCTAACTAAAATTCGGTATGGGGCCTAGTGAGCGGCCCTTTAAGCTTACTGCAAAATGCATAGCAGATTTATTACCTCTTGCTGCATTCCTGTGCCTTGCTGGGGCATGACACAACCTTTCTCAAACGGCTGCCTCTATGATGAATTCATTTGCAGGGTGAACCTTTTGCACAGCACCTTTGAGAAAGTCAAAGAAATAATTGATTGAGAGGCAAAAAGTGACACCAACTTAAATATTCAATTAAGCTAATAGCCTGATTTGGCCAACAGCCTGATTTCCTCTCAGATGACAATTGTCAAAGGCAGTTACAAGATTGTGTCCAGGGGGAGGGGGCAGCTATATAGAAGTCTGATACTTAAAGCTTTACATTTGTAATAAATTTGTAAGTGCAAGTGACCTATTTAGTGATATTTTGTACACTGTGATTATATTCCCCATGTTATTCCTTCGTTGACCTTAGCTCTATTTTCATGTTCAAAATAATATATATATATATATATGAACATTTGTATTGGTTGGTATAGATATGCAATCGTATCTGGGCTGCCATGAACCCATGCATGTGACGCTAGAGAGTCGCACCCTGCTAAAGCTTCAAACAGACTGTCAACCTCACAACGGGCGTTTTTCCGAACATGACTGTGAGAAATAAATTGTGACATTATAACACCAGTACGACACTACAAAGTAACAAGCAAAAAAGCCTTTCGTGATTAAAAGCTTGACATGTGCACTACACACACTTCTTTGTGACTAACACGTGAAACACTCAAAGTATCAATTGCATTCACATCTCTGCCCACGAAGTACGCCAACTACAGCAGCTACTAACGCTACTCATGCAATACCGCGACACACAGGTATATTTGGAAACACGGGTATATTTGGACTATGCGTTCATTGTTCACCACGAAACACTGAAGGCATAGTTGGCATCACTGCCTGCGTACGACAACACGTTAACTTTCAACTACGAACGCTACACAAGCAATACCACGGCGCATATTCAGAAACATACTTTCCTGTTGATCTTTCCTTGCAGCGAAAAAGATGGGGGAAAATCTGCTCAGAGTGGGCAAATCGGAAACAAATGCCGGGTGACAAGAGCCTGCTCGAAACGTGCTAGAAGTAGGCCTAGCAGGCACGACCAACTGTACTCCTGATTTGCCCAGATGGCGGGGTTTCTACAGGAGCGCGTGTCTCCGCTCTCATTCAACCGCTCGCTGTTGGTGGTGCTACCTACATAACCTGTTTTTTTTGCTACTTTGCCGATGGCATTGGAATAAGAAGGCCTGCATTATATTGATTCTGTGATTAACTAATGAAATATATGCGTATGTAACTATAGTTTTGCTTAGATGGCTGGTCGTGTGAGCAGGTTAAGTATTTAATGCAGACTGGTTGACAAACGTGGAAACCGGTAGAATTAAGTAGGGCAACCTATGTTTCTGAATGACTTTTAGTATAGGTATTTTTGAAGTATTTCGCATAAAAATTATGCAATATGAGGGCTGTGTTGGCCAAAACATCACCACAATCACTGAAGTTGAGTGAACAGGTGCTGACTAGAGCCACGCCGCTCGTAGGTTACGGGCCTAGCGGCAGAAGGTACGAACTAGACGTGAGTATCCTAACTAATCACGCGTACCACGCCGCAAGCAGTAAAAAAAATAAAAGTGCCCGTTTGCCGTTTTTCAGCTTTTTTTTGTTTTACTGTAATATTTATTTATTATTACATAGTGCCCGCCCGCTACAAAGGTACAGTTTAGTACACTGTAACAAAAAAAAAAATGGTCTCACTATTGTCATCATTATCACACTGGCAAAGATGGTAGCGGGCTAAAAGTGCATGTGCGTATGTACGGGTTTCTGTTGAAACTACTCCTATTTTAGATTGCGATGTTAAAATGCGGTGCATCAGCGCTGTGCCTTGAGTTTATTTTATGTTGTTCCCGTCTGCGTGTGGTGTTTTGTCAAAGGTGAAAGTGTCTTTGCTTTCGAGTACCTCATTTCGGTTGTCGTGATTTGCGAAGTCGACGATTAAATAAATGTTGCACTCTCCGTGCACATAAACGTCTGGTGAGAATTTGGGCGCTCATGGAATAGTGGTGCTGCGAAGTTTTGTTACTGAGCCCGTGATCTCCGGCGGCCATTGCTCCTGCATTGCTAGCTTTCTAGCGAAGTGTGTGTAAGTACTTCTATGCTGTCACCTGCGCGCATTGCTAGCTTTTTTATTTTTATTTTTTATTGCTACCTTTATTTCTGGAAGAGCACCCCTTTGAAATGGTCACTTTTCCCTCTCTGTGCTATGGTGAAAAAAAATTTGGAGGGGGGGGGGGCATGGGCTCGTTGTTCCACCCCCTGGCTATGCCCATGCCTCCCAGCATGTGCAAAGCAGCTCCACCACCATCATAGTGTTATGCCGTTTCGAAATAGCTCAGTAGGTTTGCGAAATCTGCGTCTAGCATGCAGCCTAAATTGCAGAAATCACTTTTTGGGGGTGCTGGACAACTGTCACTCATCATGAACCACGTGTGACTGACAGCAAAGGATAGCAGGCGCATCTTTCACGAGTTGCAGTTTGCCCGTGACATCACGGGAAGACTTTACACGTCACAGCAAAGCCTACCTTTGATACCGAAACCAAAATAAGTTTTAATGCGGTGGTATTAAAAATATATTCAATGTATTCTCAGGCACCCCGGCATTCTTTTTAGTGTTCTCGACACCCGTGTTTTCATTTAGAGTGTGATGTGTAAACTGTAGAGTAAGGTTATATTGAATTTATGCATAGCATTTCCAGAAAGAACATACCTTTGGACTCTCTCCAACATTTTTTTGCATCAAAGGGCAGCCATGCCCTGCATGCTTATCTATATCCAAGATGAACACCTCATTCTAGCTTGTATTGAAGCCCTTGAATGAAGAAGCTGGTGTTGCGTACATAATTTTAAGAAAATCGTTAGTGTGTTTATTGTTACTTTGATCAGAGGACATATATGTTTCCATCGTGAGGTTGAATAAACATTCTGGATTTACTAACTTGAATTCTGGATGTGGTCAACCTTGTATGTTTGCTCAAACGGGGCAGTACGGGGGTTAAAAACATAAATTAAGGCAGCTTTGCACTAGTGGTGCCAAGAAGCCTGAAGAAAGAGGGGAAGTCTGCCTTGTTTTTTTTTTTGAGCTATCTCTTGTCTCTTCTCTTTCTTTTCAGTTTTTTTCTGTCTTTATTGCTCCTCTAATTATCTATTTCTCTTGCCCTTTCTACTTTTCTTCTTTTTCCATCTCTTTCTAATTCTTGCTTGCTACCTCTTTTCTAATTGTACGCCAAGCGACGACCACACAGGCACCTAAAGTGCTTCACACCTAAAAGCACCTTCAGTGTGCATGATTTCGTGCTATCATGTACAGCAGCACTAACGCCACGCATGCTAATTTTATGGTCACACATGTAAGTTTATGCATATTACGTACGCTAGAACATTACATGTCAATTTATTTCCAAGTACTTTCTATATTTTACGTGTCAGAATAAATTTAGTGTTATAAGATTCATCTTAAGGGGTTTTAGATGACAGAAACTTCTGTAATGCATTTGATGTTTTGAGCACGTACAGGCGACATCATTTGCAACATCTAGTTTTTGTGTAAGGGAGAAGTGCATGCGACGTTAATAATACGTCGGCTCTCTAGACTGTAAAAATGGTACATCATGGGGATGTTGATTAGATGTTATCAATAGACATAGACGTATGGATCTTATTTCTACATTTCCAGGATATCGGTGGTTAATTAATAGCGGATTAACGTTTCTTATTGGTAAGACTGGGCCGTAACGTGTTCCATTTTTTTAATGTAACGAGAAATGCACTTTGTTGCATTCTTTTCCGGTAGCAGGTACAACACTGGTTATTTCATGAGATAGAATAGAAGCATCGGTATTTTGATCTAAGTCCTTTGCTGGCAGGGGTGGAGGAAAACAAGGACGCAGTACAGTTGAGAGCCGTAATAAGAATTAAGATAATGAGGTAAACAAATTAAATTTGCTTTGATTGAAATTTTATTGGCGTGAAAATGACACCAAGAAGACGGAGAAATAAACGGCTTCAAAGGCCTTTATTTTCAGGTGTCAGTAAAGTAATTTTGTGGTGCCTTCGCGCAGCATGAAAGTGCTCCATTGCCAGCTTATATAGGCTAAGACAACAGCCTGGTATACGCATAAAGATGACACAGCACCCGATACAACGGAATGTCCCGTCATAAAGATTGCTGGTGTATCTGCATCAGCTCTCCTTCAGTTGCGATATCGTGAAGCAAGATTACATTTTTGCGGCAGGGTAGCTTTAGCCTGCATACTTTTCTTTGCATGCTCTTCAATATTATTTCTTTGCTTTTGCATCTTTGCAAGGCCTTTGAATTGTTGTGCTGTGGCAAACATGCATTTCGTTTGAGCTGGTGTTTCCTTTCTGTTTTCATTCAACAAACATCTGAGTCGTTAGTGAACACTTGCTTTGCCTATTTTTGCCCGCCATGTGCACCAAGTATTGTGCAGAATTAAATTTTGAGGCTCGATTGTTTTGCAGCAAACGTTTCTCTCTGCCTCAGCACAGTTCTTTTTTTTTGTGGTCCTCTTGGATGACCGACGTGTTTCATACGACTGAGGCAGTATTTCTTTTTTTCTCCCTTGAGGCATGCCATTCACATCATTAGGGCTCGCCGTAGAACTTGAGCACGTGCTGCCTGAAGAAGGGAACAGTGCAACGAACAACTCTTCCAAGAAGAAACGCAAGAGGCCAGGAAAAAGAACATGTCTGAGGAAAGGCTCGAGGAAGGGAAAAAAAACCGGGGGACCAAATGACTCATCAGGGGTACCGTTTTCTTTGTCAGTTTTGTCGTCGCTTTACAACGAAAAGCATCAGATGTGTTGATCTAGCGTACGGAAACGGTGCTTGCTTTTCATGCAGATTGTCGCACGTGCACTCAAGTGGGGACGTTGTATTTTAAAGCTTTCTTTTGCCTTGTGACCAGTGATGACGACACTTGTTCAGTGTTGTATACGTTTGAACTTCAATATAACGGACACGAATATATGAAATATCGGTTATAACGAAGGAAATGAAAAACGATCTTGCAATAGACAGTGTTATGAGTAACCGCTGCAAGGAATTTCCACATAACGAACTTATTTTTTTGTTAGGTGCTTCATCGGGATGCTTCATCAGAGGGGTGCTTCATCGAAAATAGATACACGCGAACTTCTGAACTGTTAAACCCCGTTATAAGAGGCGTGCGCCAGACAGCAATTCTTGTGTTTTATATGAGGTGTCTCCTATAAGCAGGATACCATGTGTGCATTTTCCTAGTTTTATAAAACAATATTTTACTGCAGGCACACTGGTGTCTTTTAAACGGACACTAAAGTTACATAACAATTTACGTGAGAGTAAAAACTCAATGTATGACGACTTCCAAAATGACAATATTATCAACAGCAGTGCCCTACTTAGCAAGAGGTTTAGGTGAATGCACGTGAACGTATGCATTACTGTAGGAAATTCTCAAAATGATCCCGATGACGTCAGACAAATCGCTTACAATTAATCATCAGTAATCGAACTAGCTGCTCTAAATAAATGACCTTTCGTGCATCAAGAGATGTAATGAAATGCTTCTCGTTCGTTTTTGTTTGATTTGTGAAAAAAAAAAGGAACGCCGGCCGTTACTACGAGGAATGTCGTGAGTGGTTAAAAAATTCAATTTTCGCCTGGTTAAACTGGACAGTTCGTGCCATCTAGTGGGGCCCAGTTGAGCCAAAACATGTCTGCCATCTCGGAGCCAATAGCAGCCATTGCTTCTGCTGTGGTTCGCGCTGCTTTTGTTTTGCTGCTACTAGTGTCAATGGCCATACAGTAAAGCAGGGCAACGTTGTGCACGGCAACAGTGATGCGAGATGGTCCGGCGGGTAATTTTAAGTGCGCTAACCTGATGCGGACTTCTAAAATTTGATTTTATTTTAAAATAAGCCCTTCTTTGGGGCAAAAGTAACACTATGAGGTTTCTGGACCGCTGTTTCAAGAATAAATGTCGACATGATAGTTGGATTTAGTGTCCCTTTAAACCCATTGGTCTTTTATATCAATGTCTCTTATAAAAGGGTTCGACTGTATAACAAAGTGCATGTTGCAAGAAAGTATGTTTGTTATATCAGAAAATTCGTTATAACGGTTTTTTGTAATGCTATATCTATTGCAAGACTGTTTTTCATTTCGTTGTTCGATATTTCGTTATTATCCGTGTTCGTTATATTTTCTCGGGAATAGTCAAGGCCTTCAGCAAGTGCCTCTTGTAAAATATTCCTGGCTACGAGCGTAGATGAAGCGCCAGCGAAGGCAGTGGGCAGCTGCTATTGTTAGATCAAATATTGAATCGCTTAGCAACTTAGTTTGGAAAATAGGTTATTTTTACATTGGGTAATTGTCAGCGACAGTACTTGAGGCCCGGTCTGCTCATGTTCTTTTATACACGAATCGCAGTAGGCGCTGTAAGCACTGCCTATGCCGCTGCTCTCGTACGTGTTCTTTGCAACAGGGGTTAGTGGTGCTTACTGGCTAATTGCGATTTTCGAATACCGGGAGTGCTGCATTCACAGTTATTTTCTGCCTGGAGGCCAGGAAAGGCTGAAATCAAGTATGTCATTGTATGATTTCGTCGGAGATTTTCAGTAGGAGGTATATGCACTGATTGTTTTTTCGTTCTTGCAGTACGATCCTTTAAAGGGGACCCTGAAACGGTTTTTTTGGCGACTTGGTACAAACAAATTAGGCCGGTAAACTAAAGGGTTATTTAGAGACTGTTTGAGATCTCCGCTTAAACTTTTTAAATGAACGTTGAAATCGAAATTTCGCCGTGATGTTCTATCTTGAATGTTTGTTATAATAGGAATATTGAAATTGCCCCATTATGTTCCAGCCTGAGGGGGCAGACTGGTCTTTAGGACCAAAAAGTGACAAAAAAATTCATTTTTAAAATTGAGATATTTGGTTTCTGCAAGTATTTATCTATCTCTCTGCAAATATTTGCACACCATGAAGTGGCATTTTTTTTTGTAATGTCATTCTAACTGCCCAGATTCTTGGTGGTGTTAACATACATAACCTGCCAAAAATGGGGAACAAACTTTGAGGCTTTTTTATAATTTTCCGGCACCTGTGTTAGAAGCTCTGCTACGAATTAGGAGCACCTTTATGAGGATTGCAAAACATGCGTACCATGATTACCTCTCACAACAGCGCATGCCACGGCCGCGGCAGTGGCAGCCCCATCCCCAAGACGATCTTCTCCCAATTTTCGGAGCCTCCCATGGGTGGCGCAGGTGCGCTCGCCAAGTCCTAGGCGGGAAAACTAGCAACAGGGACCTTAGGGAGCGAGTCCGCTGACACTCGACGCAAGCAAGGCCTCCCATCGACGCAAGCACGAACCCACATCGATTCACCGATGACAGCGACGAAAGCCGGAAGCAGATTTTTTTTCGAGATACATGTGGTAGTCGATGGTCACCACGATGTTAGTGCATTATTGGATGCAGGTGCGGACTATTCAATCATGTGCCGAAAAGTAGCGGTGCACAAAAAAAAGTTGTTACGCCTTGGTACCAAACAAATTCGTACTGCCGGCGAGCATGTAGTCTTCCCAATCGGCATGTGCACTACCAGGTTGAGCATTCGGGGATGTACGTTTTTCGCCAGCTGCCTCATACTTCGTGACTGTTCCCGAGACCTAATCCTGGAAGTTGACTTTTTACAGGAGCACGGCACTGTTATCGATCTTCGGGAGCATACCGTGACGTTTTCGACAGATGGATCTGCCGAAAAATCTGACGGCAGCCGCGACAGTACGTTTCGCGTTTCTGTCGACAGTATCACGTTGCCTCTACGTTCTAGCATCCTAGTTAATGTGGTGTCCGACAAGTTACGGGATGGTGAGGTTGTCGCCGAAAGCAACTTGGCACTTTTGTTTGCGCCATGTGTCTGTGCTGCACACAGCCTCGTCACCCTTCATGACAGACACTCTGCCCTACTTGTGACTAATCTCAGTAATGAGCACCGGCACTTGTTTTGTCACACGGCCATCGCTTTCGCTTACCCTGTCGCAGACATTGCTGAATGTTTCGCATCTACATCAACCGACAATGGGCTTCGGCCAACAGCAAGGCATGTGACTTCGTTACTTGCCAAAGCTGATGTCAATTTGACCCTCTCTGAACAACAGCAGACTGAGCTACGTGAACTGCTATATAAATTTGAAGAGTGCTTCGCATCCAACTTGGAGGTTCGTCAGACACTGATCACCAAACTCTAAATAATTACGTATACCGATGCCTTGCCCATAAAACAACACCCTTACCGCGTTTTGCAAAGGAACGTGATGTAATAAATGCACAAGTCGAGAAGATGCTGCAAGATGACGTTATCTAACCTTCCAAGAGTCCCTGGTCATGGCCGGTCGTTCTCGTAAAGAAAAAAATGGATCACTGCGCTTCTGCGTAGACTACAGAAAACTTAACACCGTGACTAAAAAAAGACGTCTATCCACTGACCCGCTTTTGTGATGCCCTCGACAGACTGCGGCGAGCCAAGTATTTTTCATCAAAGGACTTGAAAAGTGGCTACTGGCAGATTAAAGTTGATGAACAAGATTGTGCAGAAACCATCTTTGTTACACTAGATGGCCTATATGAATTCAAGGTGCTTCCCTTCGGCCTCTGTTTCGCACCTGCAACATTCCAGAGAATGATGGACACTGTCCTTACCAGTATAAAGTAGCACACGTGCCTAGTTTATATGGATGGTGTTCTCGTGTTTTCTGTGACCTTTGAGGAGCACCTCAAGCGTCTGCAGACTCTGCTGGAAGCACTCCGCTCTGGTAACCTGATGCTGAAGCCAGAAAAATGTCACTTTGGTTATAAAGAACAGAAGTTTCTCGGTCATATTTTCAGTGCGAATTGTTCGACCAGACCCTGACAAAAGCACCGCCGTGGCGTCGTTTCCTGTTCCACATGATAAGAAGGCAGTACGTCGCTTTCTAGGGCTCTGCGTGTACTATTGCCAATTTATAGCCAATCTTCCTAGCATTGCTGAACCGCTCACTCGACTCACTCATGAAGAGGTGCCATTCGTCTGGCAGGAAAAACAGGACGCAGCTTTCTTTGAACTACAGGAGCATTTGCAGACACCGTCAGTCCTCGCTGACTTTGACCAAGATGCTGATACTGAGATTCATACTGACGCCAGCAACGTGGGTCTTGGTGCTGTCCTCATCCAACTACAAAAGCGGATGGAGCGAGTGATAGTGTATGCTAGCCACACTCTTTCCTGCGCCGAGGTCAACTACTCCACGTCAGAGAAAGAGTGCCTCGCTGTTGTATGGGCCACGATGAAACTCAGGCCTTATTTTTATGGACGCCACTTGAAGGTAGTGACAGACCATCATTTGTTGTCCTGGTTAGCTAACTTACGGGACCCGTGCAAGTGACTGGCACGATGGAGTTTTCGTCTGTAGGCATTCGATTTCTTTATCACTTACAAATCGGGCCGCAAGCACTAAGATGCCCATTCAATGTCTCGCGCCCTTGTCGAAGTTTGTGGCCACGACACCGAGGATGACGGTGGTTTCCTTGGGGCCCTTACTACAATAGATCTGATTACAAGACAGCGCGCGGACGATGAAATCTGCGCAGTTATCGAAAACCTTGAAGGACGTAACTCTTCCATGCCTCGATGTATTTCTCGAAGTCTCTCGTCATTCTGCCTGCAAGATGGGGTTCTGTATAAGAAAAACTCCAACGGCAAAGAGAGAACCTATTCTTTAGTCGTGCCAACTGACATGTGTGAGGACATTCTTCTCACCTGCCACGATGAGCCCACATCTGGTCAGTTGGTTCCTCTCGAACTCTCCCTCGAGTTCGACAAGCGTACTACTGGCCTAAGCTTTCCGCATCCATTGAGCGATACGTGAAAAGCTGCCGGGAATTCAACGCCGCAAATCCCCGCCACTGAAGCCCGCGGGCCTTCTTCAACCAATCGAACTGCTTAGGGTGCCATTCGATCAAATAGGACAGAATTTACTGGGGCCCTTTTTGCTGTCATCTGCCGGCAACAAGTGGATTGTACTAGCCACAGACTATTTGACGAAGTACGCTGAAACAAAGGCACTACAACATGCTACGGCTTCCGATGTTGCCCAATTTTTTTATGAACCAGATCATTTTTCGACATCGCTCCCGATCGTGCGTAATCACAGACACTTCTGTCTGTGCGTGATCTGTCTGAGTGTGTGTAAATCTGTCTGTGCGTAATCACAGACAGATTTACAGCCCAGCTCATTCATGACGTATTCAAGCTCAGCTGCACGAGCCATCGCAAGACCACGTCATATTATCCACGGACAAACGGCTTGACAGAGCGATTCAACAAAACCATCGCTGACATGTTAACCACGTATACATTGATGTCCAGCATAAGACCTTGGACCAGGTGCTACCATACGTCACATTCACGTAAGCCCTCCACTACGGCGTCTCTCATAATCAAATGGTGGTTTTGGGACGTTAAACCCCACATATCAATCACATTCACATACAATACTGCCATCCAGGAAACTACGGGATTCACGCCTTGCCGTCTTGTCTATGGATGTGATGTTGAGACCATGCTGGGTGCGATGCTTCCACACAATCGCGGCGCTTTGATCATGCCTGACGCTTTGCAGCTTATCCAGTACGCCGAAGAAGCATGCCAGATAGCACGCCTACACATCACGCACCAGCAGAGTACAGACGCATGCCACTACGACGCTTTCCATCGACAAGTTGACTATCATCTAGGTGTCCAAGTTTGGGTGTGGACTCCAGTTCGACGCCAGGGATTGTCAGAAAAACGGCTCAGTCGCTAATTTGCACCCTACAAAATGTTGTGACGCGTGACCGATCTGAACTACGAGGTAGTCCCCGACGGGGCCTTCTCGCCACGGCGTCGAAGGATGGCGAAATGGTGAGCTCGACGACGCAAGGCACGCTTGGATGGTGTTGCGGATGGATCAGAGAGCTAGTCGATCAGCGGGGCGATCCAATTATCCTTTCGCTGTTCGGTAGCGAGGATGTCGACATCGATGGCAACAGCAATTGAGGTTACTGAGCGGGCCACGTCGTCTTCAGGTAGAGGGGAGCGCGAGAGGGCGTCGGTGTCAGCATGCTGGCGTCCGTTGCGGTACAGTACGCGGATGTCGTAGTCTTGTAAGCGAAGAGCCCAACGGGCGAGACGGCCTGAGGGATTTTTCAATGATGACAGCCAGCATAGTGCATGATGGTCGGTGACAACATCGAATAGGCGACCATACAAATAAGATCGAAACTTTGTAAGGGCCCAGCCGATTGCCAGGCACTCTTTTTTCGTGAAGGTGCAGTTTGTCTGAGCTCTCGTGAGCGTACGGCTTGCATATGCTACGACATATTCAGGAAATCCGGGTTTGCGCTGCGCCAGGACAGCGCCGAGGCCTACACCGCTGGCGTCCGTGTGCACCTCCGTTGGGGCCGTAGGGTCGTAGGGGCGTAGAATGGGAGGAGACGTCAACAAATGGCGGAGCTTTGCGAACGCGTCGTCACACTCGGATGACCACGAATTAAGGGGCCCGTTACCTCCAAGGAGCTTCGTCAAGGGTGATATGATCGTCGCAAAGTTTCGTATGAAACGTCGGAAGTATGAGCACAGGCCCACAAAACTACGCAGATCTTTGATGGACGCAGGTTTGGGGAATTCGGCCACGGCTTGAAGCTTGGCTGGATCAGGAAGAATACCGTCCTTGGACACGACGTACCCAAGGATGGTGAGTTGCCGTGCTGCAAAGCGGCACTTCCTCAGATTTAGTTGCAAGCCGGCATTGCTCACAAGTGCGAAAACTTCTTTCAAACGTTGGAGATGCGTGGAGAAATCCGGAGCGAAGACAACGACATCGTCGAGGTTACACAAGCACGTGTA